GTTGGTTGGTTGGTTGGTTGGTTGGTTGGTTGGGAATTTGGCTTGTTAACTGTGTAGTTGATGGTTGGTTACTCAGAGAATTAGTTGTCAAAACAGTTGCTTTAAGTGTTCTGAAAATCTCTTCCTAAGAAACAAAAGACAGTCCTTTCGTGTTGAGTTTTTTCGTCTGTTGATGTACATCAACAAAAGAGAGAATAACATTTAGTGACGAGCACCTATGAAATTACTTGTACTCCAGTAAAACTTAGAACACTTAAGGCCCAGATAATTACAACCAAACGTATGAGCTTATTTAATATTATTTACTTGTCATGTTGGAATAATAACATATACTACATAAAGGTCAATGGCGTTTAAAATGTTAAGGCAGGATTCAGTATACTTGCTTTGTGAAACACAGAAGTGCTTCCTGCTGTCCTCTAACATAAAGCTGCATTCTTTTGTTCAGCTTACTCCTCGGTGTGAAGATCTGCTGGTCCGTTGCCGCTGGATGGGCAGAGGCAAGAGCTGCAAGGAGATGTTCAAAATGAGAAAGTCAATGGAAGGTTACTGCTGTGTCTTCAATTACATACGACCTACTGACAACTTCGATGAGTAAGATAAGGCTCTTTATTACATTATCTGCAATGTAAGTCTCCAAAATTACTAAATGCACAACTCCTATGTGTAGGCTTCACAAAATGTTATATTACATTTAATTACAAGTTTAAGGAAAGTTACTTTCCCACAAATTAAGATATTATGTCTTGTTATGGACAAAGTAGGTACTATGAATACAAGATCACAAGCTGAAATTCTCACATTTCTTTTCGCAACATACTGATCATGATGGGATAAAATTCCGCTCTCTACTAGGCTGAACACGGGACGGCCAGGGGAATACAATGCATATGGGAGATATGGGAAGAGCAGACAATTTTTAATTTTATACATTTTGGTAGCTTGTTAACAGATGATGGAAGGTGTACTTGTGAAATTAAATCTAGGATTGCCACGGCAAAAGCTGCATTTAACAAGAAGAAGAATCTTTTTACCAGCAAATTGGACTTAAATTTGAGAAGGAAACTAGTGAAATTGTACATTTGGAGCATGGTTTTGTATGGGGCTGAAACATGGACACTTAGGGCAGTAGATCAGAAACACCTGAACAGATTCGAAATGTGGTGTTGAAGAAGGATGGAGAACATCAGTTGGACCGATTATGTGAGAAATGAAGAAGTGTTATTTAGAGTCAGTGAGCAGAGGAATATCCTACACGAAATAAGAAAACGGAAGGCTAATTGGATTGGTCATGTTTTACGCAGAAACTGCCTTCTAAAAGAAGCTATCGAAGGAAAGATAGATGGGCGGATAGAAGTGACAAGAAGACGAGGAAGAAGACGTAAGAAGATGCTGGATGAACTTGGGGACAGAAGAGGATATTCTCTTTTGAAAGAGAAAGCTCTAGATCACATTAAGTGGAGGAACTGTTTTGGAAGAGACTGTGGACCTGTCGTCTTGACAGATTACTGATGAATGAATGATGAATGAATTTGAAAGGGGAAATTTCTTCTGGTACGTCTAATTTATTTTGCATATTTCAATGAATCTTAAAGAAAAAGAGTTAGCCTGGCTTATAAAGGAGTTCATTTGAGGGTTCTTATGAACACTGTAACGAAATCTCTTGCTCCATAAAAGACGATTTCCATTTCATAGACTGTGCCCAATTTTAGAGGAATGCCGAAAAATTATATTCCCATTCTGCGTGTGTACATCTTTTTCCCCATTCCCATTTTCATTCTTGTTCTGTTCTACTTCTGGGCTCGTAGTATGAGAGTAATTTAGGGAAAATACTTTACTCTATTCTTACTAGATTTTGTAGCATCTCGACATTTTTAATTCTTACTTTCTGTCAACGATTTTCAGTTCCTCTCCTAAATATTCAATATATATTTGATCGATGAATCGATATCCTGACATAGCTCTCAGAAAGCTCACTCTCGCAGCTTCCAGCATATAATGTCACAACAAAATCATACAGCACAGTTTCCCGCATCCAGCGTCAGGAACCATGCGTTGCCTCACCGCACCTTCTGTCAAAGATGATATAATACTGAGCACTCCTTTGGGCACAGGCCTGAACAGCGACTCAAATAAGATGATATTTCCTAATATTACTCATTGTTTCACTGGATAGCGATGATGAGTCCAGGAACGTCACTGTCGGTGAGCGTTTGAGTGCGCCAGGGTACCACATGGGGCTGACAGTACTCCTTGATCCACAGCCTGACGACTATTACTACCCTCTTCTTTCATCATACGGTGCCAAGGTAAGGAGAGTACGACCACTTGAAGTGGTCCTGTATATGGGTCACGACGCAAGGACACAATCATTAGACGCACTTTACGAATTCCGACTTATGTAGGTTTCTTTTTAATGCTAGTGGGGTGGGTCTAAGCCCCTTGTACTGCGCCAGTTCTGGCCTATTGTACCAGCTCCAGATGATAGGTGAGGCTAATTGTGGAGCAATTGGTGGAATGAAGGTTGCCAGGGGAAACCGAAGTACTCGGAGAAAACCTGCCCCAGAGCCACTTTGTCCACCAGAAATCCCACTTGACCAGACCCGGGATCGAATTCGGGCCGCCACGGTGCGTAGCCAGCGACTAACCGCTTGAGCTATGGCGCGGCCTACCTATGTAGGTTAATCATATTGCTATCACCATACAAATATTATGGGAATCCCACCTAATTTCGTAGCACTAAGCACGAATGTGTCGGTCACGGTAGCCGAGCGGTCTAAGGCATGCACTGTTTTCGCTCGCTCGGAAGCCGGGATCGTGGGTTCGAATCCCACTCAGGACATGGATGTTTATGTGCGTTTTTCTGTGTTTGTCTACAGGTAGAGGCCTTGCGACGAGCTGATCACTCGCCCAAGGAGTCCTACCGAATGTGTAAGATCTAGTAAACCGAAGTGAAACGGAGAGTTTCATGGAGGTAGGCCTAGGCCCAAATTGGGTCTGTAGCGCCACAAAAAAAAAAAAGCATGAATGCTTGCGTCCTTAGCATAAGGACGCAAGCAAATGTAATCTTCAAAGTAATGCCATATATAACTACTGTGTCCAAGAGGCGTGCATTGGCCATAACATTTAATACAATATAAAGTACATCTAGTACCACAGTAGTCATGACAATTCCACAATACTTTGATTCAAGCCAGAATAAATACATTTAAATTTAATTTTCAGTCAGTCTAAAATGACAAAACGTACATGATCACAATCATGGGTTTCTGCTACCATAGCGATGTGTATACTCTTCTAGAACTGCTGATAGAACTGCTGGATGAGATAGAAGCAACCAAGTTGCAATTGATTTACTTAACGGGACAAATATGGGGAATGCGATAGCGTATTTGGTTGAGGCACTATGCTACAAGCTGAATGATCGTGAGTACGATTCCCGATGAGGTCATTAAATTTTTTCGATTGATCTAATCCTTCCAGCCGCACTAAAGCCCTGGGTTCGACTCAGCCTGAAACAGAAATGAGTACCAGGAATCTTCCTAGAGGTAAAGGGCGGAGGGCGCATAAGACTGACAACCTTACCGTCATCTGTGAGCCGATTGTCTAGATAATGTGGGAGTATCACAACCCTATGGGCCTCCACAGCCTGTTACAGAGATAGCTTTACCTCTCTTTTAAAATTTAACAGGACAAATATTATTTGAATGAAAATAAAATTTATATTTTACATGCTGTGAACTTCATTTATGTGATGTACTTTCCAGGTATTGGTGTTCAACCCGGGAGACTTCCCAGACACACCCAGTGGCGGATTGATAGAGAAACTTGTGCCTCCGAAGACAGAAGTGTTCTTCCGGTTAGAAGCGACTTCAGTGTATGCTGAACCCATCGTGAAGAGCTTCGACAGAAAGCAAAGGGGCTGTCTCTTTTCCAGCGAGCTTTCCCTGCTCTTCGGTGACTCCTACTCCTACAGCGACTGTCTCATGAACTGCCGTATCCGCAGCATCCACACGCTCTGCGGCTGTCTGCCTTTCTACTTTCCCGTTCGAGGTATCTGCCATTCATATCTTGTAATTAAATCCGCTTCAAAGAAACAGGTATAAAATTAATTTAATTCGCTTAGTGGGGGGTTGAATTCAGTTGGGTCCACTCGGCACGGCGGCCAATGATTGGCTTATTGCACCTGCCCCGGGTGATTATGATGATGGAGAATTTGGTGAAATGAAGATTGGCAGGGGAAACCGAAGTACTCGGAGAAAACCTACCACAGCGTCACTTTGTCCAACACAAATCCCACTTGACCAGACTTGGGTTTGAACCCGGGCCACCGCGGTGGGAAGCCAGCGACTAACCGCTTGAGCTACGGCGCGGCCAACAAATATAGAAACTTTGGCTTCCAGATGAAACTGTACAATAGAATAGAACAGAATGAGTGGGCGTCAAATTGTCCAAGCCCCGCGATCAGTCACAATCTTCTGTGCATCGTGAACAACTATGCCATGAGCCAACCCGCATAAACTTCAGGAATTCTGTATTTCCACATCCTGTTGCATATGTTTAATTAAACGTCTATGTACCCACAGTCCGTCAATAATGCAACAGTTGTTTAATCACCATTTAACACTTAACACAACATGTTTCGGCCATAGATGGCTGAAATGATGCACATCTCCATAATCTTGTTATGAATAAGTTGAGCCTGCGCCTATGTACATTACGCCATCATGAGTCAACTGTTAGAAATGTAAATTTTACAAAATTTATATAAATATTATACGTGAACATCTGATAAGAATGTATGAGCAGGGATAGCTGAGTCGATACAGCGAATAGCTACTTCTGGACAGCTGGAGTTCGATTCCCGGCAAGATTTTCTCTTCTCAACATTGTCCAAATTGGCCCTGGGGCCCAGCCAGCTTCCTGTCCAATGGGCATGACGGGTTCCTCCGGTTTGTAAAGCGTCCAGGGCGTGAAGCCAACTGCTCACTTCCAGCTAGTGCGGAGGTTAAGAATGGGGGGAGGTATACCTCCATTCCTTCATAAGTTTAAGAGGCCTTATGCTTAATTAATTAAGCATAGGGATAACTGTATCTCTTTGTAAAAAAACTGCTAGTCTCTTTCTTTTCAAAATGCCCAATCATTTGCCTCTTTATTAATCCAGCACTCCTACTGTGTCTAATTTCCTTTGATTGAATTCTACTAACACGGATAATTCCGCATTCTTTAACGAATGTTTCACAAAATGTGATAACTGTCATTACTTACAGAAGTCAGCGTTTCTCTTTTACTAATTATAATTTTAATTTATTTATCTCTGCACTTATCACGGCGATACCAAGTGATAATTTAACAGTAACTGTGACTTTCCATTAGCTAAGAGGTGAAAATTTTTCCTATAATTCAATTTAAATGAACTGTTTCCCATCTAATATTATGCAGGCTAAAATTTGCGGACATACAGCAATCGGCAGACTACTGGTTGAGAAATGTGGCACAAAGTCCGTCTGTGAGACCAGAAATAGCCCGTTACCTGTTACAATTTTTAGTAAAAGATTAAGCTGCCTCTGTAACATGCGGTGAAGACCCACATTTTCTAGACAATGTGGTCACAGATGGCTGTAAAATTGTCAGCCTTACGCACCGGCTGCCCTTTACCCCCAGAAAAATTCCTGGTAATCATTTCTGTTAGAGGCAGAGTCCATCCCAGGGACATAGTGCGGCTGGATGGATTAGATCAACTTAAAATCTAATGGCCTCATCGGGATTCGATTCCCCAACCTTCCGGTTTGCAACAGAGTGCTCAACTAACTACGCTACCGCAGTATTACAAACGTCATGCCTTGGTTAAAATAGTACATGCACTTAACCTTAGAAAGAAGAAGAAATTCGGGGGAGCAAGGCTGTGCATATCTTACTTGGAAATATCCTACAAACGCACTTCGGACAAAATTGTCGATTGATCTTTCAGGAAAAAGTTCAACAGTTCAACTCTACTTTAGGGTTTTTCAGAACTTAGCAAATTAACCGATAGAACGTGATTGAATCAATTTGAATTCATTATAGGATTTATTCATTCGCGTTACTGCAAGGGGCGATCATAATGAGCACATAACGAATTGCTCACGCAATGGAATCCTAGGTTTGAATCCATTTTGGCACATGCACGATTGTTCACTCAGTTCTGTGTTTCCTCTTTGTGACTGAGGCCTTGACGTAGATAATACTTCCACCCAAACATCCACCCGGACACCCAACACATTATATGAAATATAAGTAACAATGTTATTATTAGCGCATCAACATTTTCTTCCGCCGGTCAAATGGGCAGAGCAACCTAAGGTGCTCTTCAATAACTCGAACGTTGAGTTGTTGCTGTTTGAATCCCGCTTGAGACATGGACATTGAATTTGTTCTGTACATATGTTATGGGCCTTTCCACTGCCTCTTTTCCTTCAAAGGAGTCATAAAAGTACAAATATAATGTTGTTAGACATTATCCATCATCCTGTTTTTTATTTTAAACACAACGTTTCGGAGACTGCATTCTGTCTCCGTCTTCAGGTGGAACCTACTCAGATAGAGACTAGGTCTATCCATTGGGCTCAACTGAATAGGTTCCACCGGATGATGGAGTAAGTGACCAGTTTCCGAAATGTTGCATGTTTTAAATAAAAACAGGACGATGGATAGTGTCCAGAAACATGCTATATTAATATAGAGTTGTCACAAATATTTAGTCCAACAAAATATCTAAAATATCCATACTTTCAGAAATTACATCCCAACTGCTAAATTCCAGAGGACCTAATGCCCGCAACAGAATAAGAAGAAGAAACATATTTATTTCCTTACATACATCAGCTGTATCAGACTAATTTCTCAGAATTTTTGTTTCAATTTCAGGAAGAACAAGAAAATGTAACCTGCTGGATGTTCCATGTTTGCATAAATACAGAGGTACGTATGAAGCAAGAATATCACTTTTCGCTTCTAGTTTCTTTTCCGTTTGGCGTGGTTCTAACTTGCCTTTGGGAAGAGAGAGTTTAGCCAAGTTCTGATATGTAACCAAAAAAAAAATTACATTGCCTTCCTTAATACACTTAACGTCAGATATGTTCAGTCACTTAAAGTAAAGGTAAAGGTAAAATTGTCCTGTGCTTAACTAATAAAGCACTACGCCATGAAGGTGTATGGAAGAGTGGAGGTATAGATCCACATTTTCCTGACCTCGGCACTATTTGGAGGTGAGCAGTCAGTTTCTCGCCCAGGCCGCTCTACCCCCGGGGAGGGAGTCCCGGTATCCATTGGATAGGAGGTTGGGTGGACCGCAGAGTCGGTCTCGACGACGTGGAGAAAATAAAAATTTTCACCCTACCTGGTCTCGAACTCCTACACCTCGGCCGTCCAGTCCGTAGCCAGTCGCAATACAGAATGCGCTGGCCAAGCTATCTCAGTCACTTAAAGAACTACACAAAATGCAAAAATATAAACTGGCCCATTATTTTCTTGCAAAACGAACTTTACTACTAATTTATTATGATGTGTAATAATGTCCAGTTTATTAGTGACTAAGACGCGGGTTTGGACTGGCAAATCGATTTATTGGCTACTCATCAGTCGTGACTAAAATTAGTTTCTGTCTAGAAACCCGAGATTAACGGCCGTGGGAATCCGTTGCGCTGACCACACAACACCCTCTATCCGCAAACGTTGGCACTAACTTCGCCGATAAGCGGCGCTGGCTCGGTTAGTATACTTCTCTTGTGGACTCGCAGGGTCACGGTGGAGGTATTCGACACCGCCTCCACAAAGCTCTCGTTATATAGCCGCGGCGCGGACAGCATAGAAAACCTCTTCCATTCTGAATAGTTGAGTCATCTAGTAACCAGTCACAGCGCTTACCTCATAACAATGCATTCCCTATTGTCATCACGTTCTTGAGGGGGAAGTTGTTTACCGGCCGTCGCATAGAAACGGCAGTTCTTCTACTGTTGCCTGTATTCGTTACCACGAGGATGTTTACGGACATTTCTCTATTGTTAAAGGAACGGCCAATATGTCACAATAACACACGGACGCACAGAATTACTGGATTTTTGGACTTTTCCCATCGTCCGGTATTCTAGAAAATAGAAAACACGATGTTTCGGAAACTCAATCTGTTTCCGTCCTCAGGTGAGGAAGGAAAGACATCTACTTAGTTCGGCCCATTAGAAAGAGCTAGTATCAGTCACTGGATTGAGGGGCCCAACTAAGTAATTGTCCCCCTTTCACCTGAGGACGGAAAAAGATCCAGTTTCCGAAATGTGTTTTCTAATTTTTAAAATACCAGATGATCGATGAAGTCCGAAAACCCAGTAATTCCGAGTGTTATACACCACCGACAGAGCCATTTAGAGAATTTCCTCTCCATGCGCGCAATCCATCCCGCTTATCTCGATCTATTTCATTTGATCACCTTACTTTTGTCTAAAGCTGAAATTGTAAACCCCCTCATATGTAGTTCCTTCAGTTTTCCTTACTTCCTCTCTCTTAGATGCTTAAGTTCTCTTTAGGAGTTTGCTCCCAAGATGCACAGAACTGGCCAACTCTACACCAGTAATTACAAAATGATTTTAATGTAATGGACATAGAACAGGTCTAATAGCCTAAGCCGTAACGCTAATGATAATAACTTTGTGTTTATTCTGTTGAACGGCCTTCATTCTGTTATTTTCCTCTGCACGGTTTCAGAGAAGTGGAGCACTTTGCGACCCACTGAGAACATTCCAGGTTTAGGCGCAGAGATGCAAGAGTCCATATCGTGTGAGGAATGTTCTCCCGCGTGCTCCGACACAACGTACCACGTGCAGACCTCCTCAGCTCATCTGTCGCAAACTCCTTACCTTCGATCAGGCTTCATGTGAGTCCACTGTGATTTCGTGTCCAAGTATGAAATAGTATTCTCCCATCTCCCAGCTCGAAGAAGAATGGCAGACGTACAGTTACAGAAGCCAACTTTCCTCATATGCCTCTAGTAAATCTCCGTCTATATTCCTTCTAATCAATGACGTAGCACCCTTTTGGTCTGCCCATTCCTTCATTGTCAGTCTAATTATAAATAATTTTCAGACAACTCCGAGTGGCAAGATATACAGGCAATTTATTAGGAAATGACAATAGAGCTGATAAAATTACTACTTGAATAAAGAGAAGGGTTCAGAACGAAATGGGGAATTTATTCTGCAGGCTAACGCTGTAAAATGACAGTTTAAATTTCACACATAATTTGATTAAAATATTTTCATTTGTTCAGAAATTGTGATTGGTTCGGTAGAAAATAAATACACATGAAAATCTTAAACAATCTCTTTCAATTATAATGTATGGGGAAATAGCATAGCAAATTATGTTCAATGAACACAGTTTGTGCTTCGTTGATCTAGTAAAACTCTACAAATCTGTGGAACGATTTAATGAATGCAGAAAATTTTACGTTACAGAGAAAACATTTCCTTAAAGAATCACAGCGTATTTCACCTGTACTTTGGCAGTAGGAACACACTTCGTCTCAAACAAGATGTGCTGTATTACTGGTATGACCTACTGAGTAAGTAATTTTGTTCTAGTTACAGTAGTACAAAATTGTGTTTTTATGAAGAATACCAATTGGCCACCGATGCCACGGCAATTTGTGAGCTTTAATCTTCCTCTTATGTTACATTTCGCTATATAATTCCATAAGAATCTCATTACAAAAATACTTCTGTATTCGAACCACCAACCTTGTATTTACGGCGCCGGTGCCTTACCGCTAGGCCACCAGGACATGTATGACGTAGATGACTGAGATCTTCCTTATATTATACGACTTGGTTTATAGCTGCAGAAAAATCGTATTTATTTATTCACTTTTCATTTTCTATTGACAAAAGACACAGTGGTCTAGAACCCGGTACCTTCCAACCACGTAACTTCTGAACCATATACCAGGGCCTTATCAAAGGCCCACCATGGTTATGGCAAATATTCGCCTTCGTCCTCCACATGTTCTACCGCTTCGTTTCTACAAAATTCCTCTTTACTTCTTGCTTCTTTTCAAAGTCATTATACGACTGACAGTTTGCCAGTCACTTTCTCTTAATCTAGAGCCCATTCAGGCGTTCATGATCAGATCTTAGTCTTGAAGTAAGCTTCATTGTTTGGCCTTTAATGCACAATTTGCAAAACACGACTGATAAACAAACTGGAGGTCTCTACGTTCCTCCATATCGATTTTACGACCAATTAAATAAAACATTATGCAAAATACATGGCTAAATCGAAAAGGGAGTCCCTAGAAACTCGCTGTGGTTTGTAGTTCAGCGGCTAACTGATCCGAATGCAGTTCTCGGGAAGAGTTTGAGTGACCAATAAGGGAGGTAGTTACAGATTAGATGCGTCACACCTCCACCGACACTAAAGTCCACATCCACAGAAAAGATTTTACTAATAACCGATAAAACAGAATTCAGAAATAAGTGATAACTCGTTATATTTAATTCCTTTTATATGGGAGTTTCGAAATGCACTGGCCACAAAACAGTTTAAGAGTTGCTAAAACGTGCTAGAAGTGATCGACTGTTAATTTTAGATGGGCGCTGAGAAGCAAAAGAAGTGCAAATTTAACACTAAAACCAGCTCACATATAATTTTTCAAAACTGTCCAATCAGTTGTTAGTTCCTAAGGCTTTTCATTCTGACGTGTTGTGTTTGTATATAGGTTGTAAGATTACTCCTCGGGTTTTATCGTAATTTTAGGTAACTTCGGCGGCATCTGCGGCCTATTCGTGGGCTTCAGTCTCATCAGCATCGTAGAGTTCGTCTACTTCTTCACGCTCCGGCTCTTCTTTGCGGCCAGGGGAGCAGAAGATAAGAATTCCGGAAAAAATATCGATTCTGCAAATAAAATAAGAGGCCTTGGTGCCAGAAACAGAGATATTTACTGGCGCGAGATTATACCACGCCAAGATGTAACTCGTTACTGAGTCATCATTTAGTTCAGCCAGCCCGAGTAATAACTAAAAACTGCAAATATCTATACTTTCCCGTGTAAAGCTGATAGTCGCTCTGTCAGTCAAGCAATCTCCCTCTTTATACCACCCGAAGGAGCATTGCTATGTCTAGAAAACCGCCACCGGACACCATCAGCCACAATAAATTCAGTTCACACGTTCTATTCCTTCAGCACCCATCTTAATATTACCCGTATGTACTGCATATTGTATGTCAATGATTCCAAAGTTGTCTACCCTTTCGGGTATTTTTATTTAAGTTCTGTATACGTTTCTCATCCCTAATATAAAGTTCCAGTGCCCTTTTGGCTGGTCAAGAATAGTCATCATTTTAAATTCTGGTTCAAACAATTTAACATAACAAACAATGAACTGTCAACAATGTAAAGTACGCCTTCATAAATGCTACCAGAATACACACGTGTTACAGATGAGCATAATTCATATTCAAAGCTTTATTAATAATATTATTTGAAGAAGGTTATAAAATTATAAATTCATTATTATTATTGATAAATTTGTGTATCTTTTTATTACTTTCCCGCTCTTGTTCCAAGTGCTTCTTTGTTTCCCTTTTCTCATGCACCATCGAACATAAGTGAGACACAGTCTCATATAAAACAACATATAGGACTATCATTTTGTAAAACTGCTTCACGATTGTACATACGGCACAGAGAAGTAATTATTCTGAACTGAAATATGTCGAACTTAAAGTTCATTATTTAATGCCTGTACTTCAAACCCAAGAAGACGATAATGAATGAGCGATAGGATTGATTGAAAGTGTTTTGCTATCATAGCGCATGAAAGAACAGACCAAAGTAATTCTTGGCCAGTGTAGCATATTCTCAAACAGAAAATGTAAACAGATACAGCCTGAATAAAAATCGCCCGATTTAGCTAACCTGTTCGGCACCATGCGCGCTACAAGACGTCAGTGAGATGCACATTCACATCTCGTGGATCATGTGCAGTTGTTAAGGGATTGAAATCGTCTGTACCGGCAGACAGTGAACATGTAAGGATGCCATCGGCTTGTAACAATAGCACAGACATTAAGAAAATAGTCTCATGAGGCAACTCACGATAACGGGCTATGTTATAGGCATGCAAATGAAAGAAAATAAGTTGATTTTTTTAAAAAAGGAAATACTTAAAATGTTTTCAGGTTCACGTCAGACACTTCAAAGCTTGAAACACTTGCACCCAAAACTTATGTTACATCAGCCTTCTGTGAACTTCCTTTTCATACTCGAACACAAACTGGTAAACAGAGTAGCTGCATATGGGCTGGACAATCGATTCCATGGCAAGGGAAGGGTTTATTTCTTTCTGCTTGTAATTAGATTCAGGATACAGCCTAATGAAAATCTTGTAGATACCAAACAAATATATTTTATATTTGCACTTTGAACCTAAAATTCATCTATATAAAAGTAAAAAATAAGGTTGTCAGCCTTACGCGCCGGCCGCGCTTTACTCCCCAGGAAAATTATTTAATTAAATCCTGGTACTTATTTATGTTAGAGGCTGAGTAAACCCCAGGGCCTAGTGCGGCTGGAAGGATTAGGTCAACTGAAAAAAAAAATCCAGTGACATCATAGGGGATTGAACCCGCGACCTTCCGGCTTGTAGCATAGCTCCTCAACCACTACGCTACCGCGTGCCCGGGTCTGGTCAAGTGGGATTTGTAGTGGACAAAGTGGCGCTGGGGCAGGTTTTCTCCGAGTACTTCGGTTTCTCCTGCCAATCTTCATTCCACCAATTGCTCCACAATCACCCTCACCTATCATCTGGGGCAGGTACAATAGGCCAGAAGTGGCCGCGGTACCAGGGACTTAGTCCCACCCCACTAGAAAGAAAAAAATACATAACAAGCAAAACACCGCAGCCTTATTACAAAGACCAACCGGTTAATATCCTTGAGGAAATAATCTCTCTTTATTGTGAGCATCATTTAAAAATATAAAGACATTTTTAAGGAGAATGTGAGTTTTGTTTAAGTCACAGCAGCTGTTACACACAGTAACCACCTGTTATAAGGGGTTAAACAACATGGCATATACAAAAAAGCAGAAAAAATAGACTGTGGTTGCGACAGAGAGATGAGAGAAATAGAACGAAAGAAAAGTGTCCAGAGAAGAATTTGTATTGTAGACAGATTGTCACGGCGTATTTCCTTCAATTTTTCTCCTTTACGTTCGTCCCATTTCATGACACTTCTTGTGCTACCCTTCTGTATCCTTCCTGCCCTGTCCTTCCTCTTTCCGTCCCTTCTCTGGTTTACCCCTACTCCAGTAACATACCTGTTAGCCTACAGCAGTCATCAAAGGAACTAAATCATTAATAAAGCTTCTTCAATTGCCTCTTTGCGTAAATCTAGTCAAAGCAGGGAACATCTCATTATCCCAAAGCTGCTGGGTAAGTATCGAGTAATTCTAAGTTATTCCGTCGGATGTGATAAGGCCCAGCGGTTGGCAAGCAGACTCAAAGTGAAGTGTCTCAGGTTTGTGTTTTGAAGAAAGTACCTCTTTCCTACTTGCCGCAGTAACGACTTGCTTACTATTCACATACATTTAAATATAAGGTTTAATGTTTATGAATGTACGCCACTCATAAACTCTGGTTATCGTAGTTTCCTTATATGCATTTTAGTGAGAACTTTTACTCTAAAATGATCTCTTAAACTGCCAGTTCAATACGCCATGTTTAAATGCACGAAGCATCGGGTGATTCAATTGTCTTCTTATCGACAAAATCTTTTTTTTTAATTTCCTTAGTGGGGGGGGGGGTGGAGTCCAACAGGATCCACTCGGCAAGGCGGCCACTGATTAGCCAATTGTAGCCTGCCCCGGGTGATTATGATGATGGAGAATTTGGTGGAATGAAGATTGGCAGGGGAAAGTGACGTACTCTGAGAAAACCCACCCCAACGCCACTTTGTCTACCACAAATCCCACTTGACCAGACCCGGGATCGAACCCGGGCCGCCGCGGTGTGAAGCCAGCGACTAACCGCTTGAGCTATGGCGCGGCCATATCGACAAATCTTACACTTGATTGCTATTTTTCTCACGGCTCTATAATGATTATTATCTTCTAGGATTTTCCGACGTGTACGAGTGTGGTCGGTTGAAACCAACTTTGAGAAAAATATGCTAACACTTTCTTAAAGATAGAGAAGTATTCTAGTGTGAAGACAGAGGTAGCAGAGGTCTCTGTTTCTATCAGACATCACGGTGTCACATCGTGGAAGACCATTATCTGGTTGTCTCTTATTTCTGTAATCTTTTCGAATTCAGTAGGAACTGTCAGCACCGATCACAATGAATTAAATCTAGGAAGCTGCAAAGGGACGAAATGAAATGATGGCATACTGCAAAAATGCCCATAAAGACGCATATATTAGCTAAATATTTTACGTGAAATACACGCATATTGAAAAAAAAAATGTAGCCATAACCTTAAAGTTCCCTCTACAGAAATACCTATCTTTTGTCCTTCGCAGATATTGTGTTCTTACAAACTGAAAATTTGTGGCAACCCTGCGCCGAGCAATTCTATCGCGCCATTCTTTCAACAGCAGGTACTCACTTCGTGTCTCTGTGTCACATTTTGGTAATTCTCGCAATATTTCAAAGCTTTTCATTATTTTTATATTTCTTTTGGTGATTTGTGATTAGTGATCTTTGATATTTCTATTGTAATTGTTTTGGGGCGCCATGAACCGCGCCCATATAAGACGGCGAACGTAATCGATAGATATTGTGTGTGTTCTGACTACTCCATCGATTGGTAAACTTAATTGTTGACTTATTTTAAGAAATTGCAACAGCCACCCCAACCTTCAGCGACCACCACCCTGATAAGTCAGCAACCATCAAAATCGAGGCAAGACCTTCCATGAGCAAAAATATTACGACTCGCCGAAAGCTCAGAGGATGATTAGCACTTTTTAACAATAAAGTATTTTGATTAAGGTAAGTACATTGTTTTGTTTTTAGAAATAATGCCATTACACACTTAATAAACTACAGTACAGTGTAAGCATAACTTTTGCATGCACCGGGAAACCCAAAAAGTTCGTGTGACTCGCTTTATTGCCGTTATCTGGAACCGAACCGGCAAAATAAATAAAGATACTACTTTAAAATTGTCATACACGTATGTTGTCCCTTGGAAAGAAGTGGACCTAGTAATAATTACGTATCATCGTGGGTTAATCAGAATTATTTTCAAAATCGCCGCGCATGTATACTGACAGATATCCACGTATAATATAGCAACATAAATGTATAAAATTTATTCCTCCTGAGGTTATTCAAGAATGACGTCTCAGCCACAAGGCTACGTAAAAATGAGGGAAGATCAGATGATAATTGCGTAAAAATTTAGAATTGGAGAGGATAAACTCGAAGCCTGAATCAAGGTAATCGTTAAGCAGTTCACTCAGACAGAAAATACGGTAGCCGACCGCGATCAGAACTAAGAAACTTAGAAATTCAAGGAAAGGGCCTTATTGTCAGTGGAATCCAACTGTAAAATAAAATTTAAATTTCAATCCATATCATTTTACGTGACATATGATTAGGCATACTTCGTGTTTGGTGAGGACACTTGCGTATTTAGAAATGATAGAAATTGTAAGGATGATTTGGGGAAGAGAGAAAACATTCAGTTAACAAATTCAAGAGGTGTGCCTGTGATACAAACCGAGTATCTCCGTAACCCGTGTCACGAAGTTAAGAGTAGTATAATGTTAAATGTTACAGGAAAGGAAACTGCCATGTATATATTCCAGTCAAGTGTCGAATCACAAATGCAGCCTCAAATTTAAGGACCCAGGATGTAGGAACGAGGTGCCTGATTAAAGCTATCCCTGAAACAGTCCGTGGAGGCCCATAGTGTTGTGGAACGTCGAGGCTCCAACATCGTCAAGACAATCGGCTCGTAGATGGAGGTGAGGTTGTCAGGCTTACGCGCCGGGCGGCCTGATTAAAGCTGTGACACATTTCAGGGAGCGGTGGTGGATGGGTAAGAAATATTGGTAGAATTGTGATTACATGGGTAAACTGAACGAACTTGGAGGAAAATCTGCCCCAGTGCCACTTGATTCACCATGAAATTTGTACGAAGTCACCCTGGACTGAACCTGAGTCTATATGGTGAGAACTGACCGTATTATCCCCTAAAGCCACGTCCTTGATAGATATCACTTCCTTTCAATTGTATCTGTCAGTAACAGCCCAAAGAAGGATTTTCAACAGCTGCACTCTTACATCAAATTACTTTATGCAAGAAATTATAGGGTAGGATATTTTCAGCTTTATATTTCACATGAAATATTATAGTTCATAAAATGAATGCGAAAATCATTAATATATGACATGTATTGTAGATATTTTATT